AAATATCTTTATCAGTCCTGGCTCAAGCTGGTTGCGAGCAAAAAATAAATGTAGATAAAGTCTCTGGCAAAAAGGTTACACAGCAAATGCAAAAACAAAAAGTTCTTACAGCAAACCAGGTTTACAGAAAGCAAATCACTTATCCAAGTGCCTCTCATGAACAACGAACCACAACCGATGAACGACGAACCACGAACATTGACTTCTGCAACTAAGGCATGGCACCATCTGTCTTTTATCTGCAGAAGACCACCCTAACGAGCAACAGCTGCTTATTATTCCTGCATCCCAACGCAACTCACAGCAAGCTGCTACTGAGTCACAATAATATCCCCCATCGCAGGGCCCTTCCCCCGGGTTCCGATGGTCTGGATGCGGTCGGAATGGATTGTCCATAAGATGGCCCACACTCATTTCCTGTGGTGCCTCTTTCGTGATTCCGAAAAAATCTGCAGGAATAGTCCCCTTGAGCCAAGACTCCCCAGGTATCCGGTGGCCACCACATCTCCTTCCGCCCTTTGTGGCGTTGACACTCCATCCAGGGTCATCCACCCTCTCCAAGGCCAACCCACCAGCCCCCCTACTGTCGGAGTCTGGCGGCCGCTCTAACAGCTCTGGCCGAGCCCTAACACCCTGTCCAGGGTCCTCCACCCTCTCCAAGGCTGACCCACCAGCCCCCGTACTATCGGAGTCTGGCGGCTGCTCTAACAGCTCCGGCTGAGCCCTAACACCCTGTCCAGGGTCCTCCACCCTCTCCAAGGCCGACCCACCAGCCCCTGTACTGTCGGAGTCTGGCGGCAGCTCTACTGACTCCTGCCGGGCCACCACACTATCCCTCAACGGAGAGCCCATTCCCCGGTCCCACTGCTCGAAATGTGGCCCGGAAGGGTTGGTGACAGCCCCCACGGAACACAGTCCCATACACTGGTACCCCGCCGGTATCCTAGAAACAAAGTCCAGTGCTGCGGGGACTGGGGTCGACAAGGGCTGGAATCTTGATGAAACCCTCCTCGCAGACCTGGCCCATTAGTACTGGACACATGAGTCCACGCACCTCCGCATGTCATTTCTTAAATGGGGCCACCAAAATTGATGAGAAGCCAGGCGCAATGTCCAGAAAAACCCCCAATGTCTCGATGCAGAAGCACCATGAACCTGAGAAAGCACTCGTCTACGGATGTACCCTGCGGGAACATAGAGCCAGCCCCGATACTTCAAAAGATCCTCTTCTAAAGTCCACAGGGAAGCCGGCTCTACTTCCGCCTTTCGTTGCTCCACCCATTCGTCACCCTGCTGCGCATCTCGTATCAGAGACTGTATGCTCACGGAATGATAAATGGCAGCGCACAATGCAACGGGTAGAACAGTCAGAGGTGGAAGCGAGTTCGCAGGGTCAGAGTTCTCCGATGTCCCAGGCAGGGCATCCGCTCTGGGATTCCACACCCCACGAATGCACGCTACATTGTGCGAATGGGGTATCACAGCCGCACAAACGTGCCGGTTCTCAGACATAATAGTTCGATGCTGAGGGACGGTGAAATATTTGAAGAAAAAAAGTTCTTACAAGCCATTAAGGATGGAGTGGCTCTGTATACATGTTGGGATATATATCATATAATATATATCATAATAAATAAAATGTATCTCTAATTTTCCACAATCATTGAAAAAATAACAAAGACTTAAAGGTATGAGACAACAATCCAAATCAACTATGACATGCTTACAATAACCAAAACAAATTGTCTTAAAATGGCTTCCCAGGATTTAAAATTATTGAAATCTTTTGGACATTACAAATATGCAATGCATGAATAATACTTCTAAGCCATAAGGCTGAACAAGGAAGGAGGTGGGGTAGACAAAAAAATGGAATGATTCTTAATTGGCTATAGGGAAAATTGGAAGCTGCCAAAGGGGATATTAATAAATTCTTTCTGTCAAGGCATTCTGTGCATTAACTTTTTTTAAATTATTATTATTTTTACTGTATTAATAAATGTTCATAATAATAAGATCAGTAAGATTTTCAGAAATTTTCATAAATTACTCAGTTTTTAAATAATTGATAGGATTTTATTCATTATAGCTTATCAATATTTATTTATTATTTTATAAAATTATTGGCAACCCATCTTACCATAGAGTATCCCTGGATGGCTTACAGGCATAAAATATGTCTACACAAATGCAATTAAAACATTAATAAATTAAAATCAAATATTAAAATCTAAGGACACATAGGGAGGGGAAGTGAAATGGGGTAAGGTGGTATCTATTATTACTTGATCACATCAGGGACCAAGATGTTCCAGAGGGCAGGAGCCAAAGCAGAATAGGCCCTTCTTCTGCACCCTGCCAGAGAAATAATTGGACTGATAGGATCCACAGCATGCCTTCTCTGCTGACACAAGTGATAAATTATCTTAAATTTGTATAAACAATATTTAGCCATGATTTTAAGGTAACAGTTCATGTTTAATATGTAACTGAAATATGCATTTCCTAATATTCAGTATAGTGTACTTTATTTTCTTTGAAATTGTTAGTTAATTGATAATACTATTCAAAGTAGTGCTGACCCCAAAAAAAGTAAAAAATGATGTATATGCAATTAAAATGTATAATTCACAAATAAAATGAATATAATCTTAAATATAGCCACATGTGCTTCATTGGTAAATATTAAATATTTTTATTTAATATGTGCTATCATACGCACAATGATAGAAGGGAAATAATAAGAGCTGAGTTATTCAGAGGATGCAATTTTTTTTAATATAAATGCAGACTTTAAAAGCAACTGCTTATTTATATATATAATTCACATCTGAAAATGTTTTATTAATATTTTATTTCTTACATATTTCAGATTCGTGATTCAATTTGCAATTATGAGGCCTTTATGAACATTGTTAAAGTAAGTGATAAAATAGGAGAGTTAGAAGCAGTAAGAGACAAAGCCACAGAAGAACTGCAGTATCTTCGTTCTTTGGATACAGCTGGAGATGGTTAGTACTGTTATGTTTATAATTATTATATAACTATAAGATGTTGTCTATTTTTTCTTTAGGTAGCATTCTCCTAAAAGTTAGAAGGTCATAATCATTCTTAAAGGAAAAATTTTCTATTTAAGAATAAGATGATTTGCGGATTTTGGGGAGGTGAATAAAGATGCAAGTACCCTGGCAGTTTTTAATTATGCCTCGTATAAGCACAGTAAACTTCTTGGATGGCTAGATAAATTTCCATAACTGACTATTTTGTAATAATAAGAAACTTTCCTCTCTTGAATAACAAGCTGTTATGATTTTATTCCAATTTTGTTCTGGAATTTAAATCTGGATAAAAGCTTGCCAAGGTGAGATATTATGTAGTTTGAAGCCATGTCCTGTATGCATAGAAGTTTCCTTGAAAAAACTTACCTATTCCAGTAGACATTGTAAAGGAAAGACAATTTTGTGGGTAATTGTATGCTGTGAAAATGCTTGCTCTAACAAATATGGATGTGAAATGTGGAATATAATCTAGATTTATAGGAGTATCCAGCTTTTTTTAAAAAATATTTTTTTTTACTTTTAAAACAAACAAAAACAAAACAACACATTCAAAAAACTTTTCTCAATTTTGTCAAGCATGTCGTTTGGTTACAAACTTTTGTGCATCAGTTTTTACAATTAAAAATAA